GTGGATTATTAAAATTTAATGTTTTATTTGAATATGTTTATTGGTGTAATTACCGACATGGATGATATAGTGATAGCTTCGGGAGGTCAACGATGTAAATATGAGAGTTGATTGAACTTTACTTCAAAATTCAGCAATAAAACTTTAAAACTCGACAAAATAACCTCAAAATTCGACAAAATAACTTCAAAATCCACCAACATAACCTCAAAATTCAGCAACATAACCTCAAAACTCAGCAACTTAACCTCAAAATCCAGCAACTTAACCTCAAAATGCAGCAACATAACCTCAAAATTCGACAACATAAGCTCAAAATTCATCAAAATAACCTTAAAAGCAAGCATCATAACCTGCAAATCCAGCAACATAACCTCAAAATTCACCAACGTAACCTCAACATCCTGCAATATAACCTCACAATTCATTAAAACTATCCAAGATCTTATCAAAAAACATCACAAAACAAACATTCGTTTCAACATCCAATAAAGTTTTCAACATCACTCGCATCTCACACAGTGTACAGGCCAGCAAAAAAAGCACACGCTATCCTTTTCGCCTCATAAATCTCGTCCACATGTACATGGCTGTAGTCACACACAGACACAATCAGATTCCTCTTTGCAAAAAAAAAATAAATTTGCGACAAGGATAAAACAAGGGCATTCGTGCTTCATGAAAATGATGAAAATATAAAGCAGTGCCATTGCCATAGAAACGAGACGAAGAGAAGTAAAACTTAATTTTTCTCGAGTGTTTGACTTGTCTGGAGTGAGAAAATGGAAAGGAAGGAAGAAGATGAATAATGAAAAAGTTTTTTTTTATGTGCTTCTTTTTTTGGGAGGAAGGAAGAAATTGCTGAAAGATAATGAAGACGTGGATTAACGTGAAGTTTTAAGACAGAATGAAGCATTTTTGGTTGTTCACTAAGGTGGTTGGTGTTGATGGTTTGTGAACAAGTTTGCATCAAACTTACTAGATTGAGGCTATGTTGCTGAATTTTGAGGTAAAGTCGCTAAAATTTCAGGTTATGTTTCCGAATTTCGAGGTTATGTTGCTAAATTTTGAGGTTATGTTGCTGAATTTTAAGGTTAATTCGCTAAAATTTTAGATTATGTTTCCGAATTTGAGATTTTGTTGCTCAATTTGAGGTTATGTTGCTGAATTTTGAAGTTTTGTTGCTGAATTTTAAGGTTAAGTCTCTAAAATTTCAGGCTATGTTTCCGAACTTTAAGGTTTTGATGCTGAATTTTGATGTTATGTTGCTGAATTTTAAGATTAAGTTGCTAAAATTTCAGGTTATATTTCCCAATTTTGAGGTTATGTTGCTGAATTTTGAGGTTATGTTGCTGAATTTTAAGGTTAAGTCGCTAAAATTTCAGGTTATGTTTCCGAATTTTGAGGTTATGTTGCTAAATTTTCAGGTTATGTTGCTGAATTTTGAGGTTATAGTGGAAAATTTTGATTTTAAGACTTCCAAACTTCGAGGTTACGATTCTAAAATTTTGATGATATATTCCAAATAGCAATATTCTTGAATTTCAACATTATATTCCAATTTACCAGTGCTACAGTCAACAACTCATTCAAATGCACCCATCACGAAATTCACACATTTTCGAGCATGCACACTATACGCCTATTGATTCACATTTCATGCATCTACACATGCACAATTTTTATTCTTCATTTTTCCCATTTCCCTAGACACATGAAAGTAACATTCGATAAAGAACATAATAGTGGAAAGTTCTGGATCAAGAAGAAGCAAAAAATCAATAGTCGAACTGCTCCCGACAGGAATGAATTGTGAGGAAACAGAAAATTTATATTAAAAATCGGGACACAAGTCGAGAACTTTCTATTTAATGCTTTGATGATGTTGTTGGAACTATTTAACCAGCCTAGCTTTTTACTTATCATCATTCACTCTTCCAACTACCTCACATCATTCCACTCAACATATTCGTTCCCTTAAATCTTTGCTTTTCGTTTCCTACTCTTTTTTGCTTTTCATTTCTCTTTCAGGACATTGACCGAGTGAGGAATAATGGAATGAATGTAGACTATTTATGGGTTTCGAAGAGAACAAAAAACAGAATTTTGCTGCTGCACATTTTCTGTGGTTGTGTTAGTGACTCTACCGATTGAATGAAAATGCTGAAAATTTTACTATACAAATGTACTCGATGTTATTGATATGATCGTCGTCTGACTGTTGTTGTTATTGGGAGCATTTTGGAGCTTCATGGTATAGTAAGTTGTGATGGGGGTTGAAGTGTAGAATTGAAAATGAAAGGAACGGGGAGAAAGTGGAGTTGTTATTGGATTGTAGACTGTGAAGGAAATGAGGGAATTTGTGTTCGGTTGTGTCGAGTTTTTGGTGTATTATTATTGGAAAAATCTAGAATAATCTTTTGTCTGGAAAATAAATTGGCAAATTTTAGGTCAGAATAAATTAGATTTTCTTGTGTCGAGCTAGATTAGATCCTCCCAACGCGAGTCAGATTAGATCTTCTCGTTTTTTCAGATTATATCTTCTCGGGTCGAGCCAGATTAGATCCTCTCAGGTCGAGCCAGATTCGATCTTTTTGGGTCGAACCAGATTAGATCCTCTCAGGTCGAGCCAGATTCGATCTTCTTGGGTTAAGCCAGGTTCTTTCTTCTTTGTCGAGTCAAACTTCATTTTCCAGTTAACCTTCCCATAAAAAATCAAGAATTCATAAAAAACCTTGCATTTTCCATTTTAAAAAATCTCAAAATTGTCACGTACAATTCACAAAATTTATGAGAACCATACACGTCTGTATTTGTATACGTGCCACAATTCCCTTCGTTTTATCACCAAATTGACATTGCATTGCAAAAAAAATCATCCCCTTGCGTGATGCACACAAATACAATTGTTTGAATGTGTGTGTGCAGACGATTCCTTTCATTTGATATAAAGTAGGGTAGGATAATAGCTGTGCTGCAAGTGCATAGCTATTATTATTATTTTTCGCATATTTTAATGGGATTTGGTGTGTATTTACTGTTACTAACACGAGTAAATTGGGAAATTTTCCTCATGAAAATGTTTGTTGAACTCTCGTGAACTGCGTCCTTATTTCCTCATGTCTAAATTATTTATGAGGGACTTTTTGTTGTGATTTTTCATTGTAATGATGTAAATTCAAGATTAAGCTATGAAAAATCTGGACAATTTGATCTTAAAATCCCCATCCAGCCCCCGAGACATCAACAATACCGAATCCACCCTCATCAACATCACATTTCATCTCGATTTCATCCAATTGAGACCCGCACACATCTACACAATCTCATCTCAACAATTTGGCATAATAAACTTCAATAATAAGAGATGAAAAAAAATATACAATAAAACTGTGCAAATAGCAGCGACAACATCGAGACGGTACACAGTCATGATGGAAATGTTAATGACCTACAACTCGCATTTTCTCTTTTTATTTTCTATGATGCTTTACCTTTCCCTCTTATGTTGATGCTGATGCTTGATGCTGCTACGATTTCTTCATTTATTATGGTGTTATTTTGAAATGAAATAGAAATGAAATGTTTATAGCTGGCTGGAGATGATTATGGCTGTGTCTGGAGACGGAATTGCTCTTGGGGATTTTATTGAACAGATTTGATCGTCTCGAGTTACGCTTGATTTTATCATCTCGGATCGAACTAGATTCTATCCTCTTGGGTGAAGCTAGATTCTATCCTCTCGGATCGAACTAGATTCTATCCTCTTGGGTAGAGCTAGATTTTATCCACTCGGGACTAGATAGATTCTATCCACTCGGGACTAGATAGATTCTATCCTCTCGGGATGATCTTGATTTTATCCTCTCGGTTCGAGCTATGTTCGATCTTCTCAGGTCTCGGATTGAGATAGATTCTATCCTCTCAGGTCAAGCTAGATTCTATCCTCTAAGGTCAAACTAGATCCTCTCCTCTTGGGTCGAGCTTGATTTTATTATCTCGGATCAAAATAGATACTATAATTTTCGGTCAAGCTAGTCCTCTCCTCTTGGATCGGGTAAGGTTTCATCCTCTTAGGTCGAGTTAAATGCTTTCATCTCAGACTTTGCCGAACTAGTTTTCATCCATAATTATTCCCTCCAACACTTCATCACAACAATATTTCTCAGCACTCAATACTAAGAAAAATACTACATAATACATCATGTCATAGGCATACAACACCACCTCATTAAACCATCCTCATTCCACAGAACCTTCAATTATCTTCAACATACATTACTTGAAGCACATAGAACATAGTAAAAACATATCCCGCTACCTCCCATGCACAACTAATGGGATGATGCACATAAACTACATTCATGAACATGCTCGATGTTGCTACATTATACAACGATGCGAAATGAAAGGAAACAAGAGAGGAAAAAAATAATTTGAAACAGAAAACAAAAAAAGGGAGCAGAAGTGAAAATTTTATTGATTTTGTCTGGCTTTTTTTTTGTTGAGGAAAAAAAATGGGAAAAAATTGGGAATGCAGATTTTTGCAATGGTGGCGTCTGAAATGTTTTATTTTTGCATGAGTTGTTATTTGTTTTGGGAAATACTTTTTGTGAATTTTTAATGACGCTATTTTAAGAAAACTTAGGATCAGCTCAGCTTTAGCTTTGTCATAAGCTCAGCTTCTGCTCAGTCTTAAGCTCAGCTTCAGCTCAGTCTTAAGCTCAGCTGCAGCTCAGTCTTAAGCTCAGCTTCAGCTCAGCTTCAGCTCAGCTTCAGCTCAGCTTCAGCTCAGCTTCAACTCAGTCTTAAGCTCAGCTTCAGCTCAGCTTCAGCTCAGTCTTGAGCTCAGCTTCAGCTCAGTCTTGAGCTCAGTCTTAAGCTCAACTTCAGCTTAGTCTTAAAGAACAGTAACAGAAGTAGTTCAAACTACCAAGTAGCTTCATTCCTTCCATTTGAAACATGACAAACCCCAAAAAATAACAAAAAAATTGACTCACCCAAATCAGGCATCGAACTTGACGGCTCCTCATTGCTAATAATTTTCATCTTATGTCCACCACTAGATCCAACAGATCCACTACTATGCGCATTACTGACAGCAACAACAGTTGATGTTGGCGGTGCCATTTGATGTTGATGTTCTGTCTTAAAATTCTCACTGCTCGACACTTGATATCCACTGTCTTCATACATTTGTCGTCCATCTTTAATAACACGAAATTGCTGATGTTGTTGTGGAATTGCTGGTCTGTAGATATGATGCTGATGATGGTAATGTGATGACGGTGGCTCTGGCGATGAAGTGGACGAAATTGATGATTTTTTGTAGAATTGTGGTATGTGATCCTCGATGTCTTGTGACATGTGGCTGTCGATGTGGTCGAGGATCAGTTGGTGGTTTTCGTAGAGTTTTGATGGTGAGAATGTTGCCATTTTTGTATTTTTTTTTGAGGTTATGTAGAATTATTTTTGAGGTTATGTTTTTAAATGTTTATTTTAAGGTAACACTTGTTATTTGAGTATTAAGGTTTATGTACTTGAGTGGTTGTTGAGAAATATAAAGGGTTACTCTTTTGAATTTTTAGGTTAGGTTCTTATTTTTTTGAGGTTTGGTACATAAACTTTGAGGTTAAGTGTTTAAATTTTTTATGGTAAAGTTAACTTTCTGGAACTGTAGAACTCAACCGATATTTTTTTAAGATTATTGGCAATTTTCAATTATTTATTGGTGATTTTTTGAGTTTTCTATCCAAATTCCTTTTTTGTTTTTTTAAAACTATTTTGTAATGTGGAATTAATATTAAAATTTATATTTAAGTTTATTTTTAAAAAAAAGTTCAACAAAATTTTTCAACTTTTTTTCAATAATTTTTATCTGGTTATAAAATAATTCGATATTTTTTTGTATTTAAATTATTAAAGTTTCTATGTTTTTTGAATTAGTTTGCAGGTTAATTTAAGATTTGTTGATTAAATTGTGGATAATCTTTGTAATTGCAAGGCAATTGCTGATAATTATATTATAAATGGTAGGATTTAATAAATATTATAACGTAATTAAGTGACGAGTAATGCAGATAACTTAAACAATAATCCAATCAATGTGATAAATAAGTTTAATTGATAATTTAGAATTATTATGCAATAAATATTAAAATTAGGTTGAATATTTCAACTTTTAGGCTGGACTTGGTGGGCTTTGTTGGGACTTATTGGCAAAGTTTTGAATGCTTTTAAGCGAATTTAAATAAGTTTTAACTTAAAATGTATTTAAATTTGTAAAATAAGTCCAAAGTTTTGGTTTGTGTCCTTCTTTTTTGACTTGAAGGCACCCGGTATTGATTTTATTAAGTTTCAAATTTTACTAAATTCATTAAGCTTTCCTTAAACGTTTCACAAGAATTTTTAAAGGTTAAGAATTTTATTTTCTTAATTTTTCAGTGCAATTTTTCACTTTTAAAATTCAATTTTTTTCTCAAAATTTCTTTAATTCATCATTTTAAACACTATCAATCCAAAAGTCCATTAAGTTCAATTATCAATTCACTAATTTCCACTTAATAGTCCATAAAACATTTTTTTTCACTTAAATCACCGGCAAATTAGCGTCTCGTGAAAATATTTTGCATTAAATCATTTTCACATTTTTAGCACAATTTTTTTAGATGTTTTTCATAACTTTTACTCTAGCAATTAAGATTATTCAGTTCCACTCTCAATTTCTAATTATTGTTTGAGTTTCTGATGAGAAGTTTCACTTTCAGTCTAGTTTTCGGGTGGTTTTGATGTTTAATTTTCACTTTTTAAGATAATTTTACTTTTTAATAATGGATTTTTGATCTTAAAATGACACGGTTTTGGGTGCATTTTAATGGGAATTTTTGTGTTTTTTTGTTGTTTGTCTTCAGCTTTTATGCTAGTATTCACTGTTTTTTAGAGAAATAATTTTATTTTTTGAGGTTATGCAAATCTTTTAGAACTTCTTCAACTTTTCTTTAAATTTCGCAATTTTTTTTTCGATTTTTGCAAACTTTTTTGATTTTTTTTTTAATTTTTTATTCAATGTTTAACCTCAAACTCTGCTTCAGTTCTGCGATTAATCATTCAATAATCCATAAATTTACAAATCTTAAATTTTTAAATCCCTTTTGATCCTCAAAATATTTCACAAAAACCATTCCAAACTCAAAAGACACCAAAACTTAATTAAAATCCACAAAAAATTTTATTTGTATTTTTAATAATTATTTCACTTTATTTTTGTCTTAAAAGCAAATTGAAATCGAGAGCGATAAACAAAATTGATCTGAGAGGAAAAATAAAAGTGTTTTATTATTTTAAAAAAAATTTTGATATTGTGTGTGAATTTGCGTCCGTTTACGATACCGGCAAAGTTAAAACTGAATCAGCGGCGACTGTTTTTTTCTCCTTTCCATTTTTTTTTGCTGCTGTGTACACAAAATAATTTTTGCTTTTCTTTTCGTCTGCTTTTGTGTGCCAAGTGGAGTTTTTCCAAAAAACATGAGCTTTTGCTTTTGCTACTGTTTTATGCAATTTTTGTGTGTGTTTTGATTTTGTGGATTCGAGATTAATTGATGAAAATTGAAAAGCTTAAAAAAGTGCAGCTTTTAGTCGATTTTTGACTAATTTATTTAAATTGAAATTCCCTAAAAAACTTAAAAATCTACAAGAACAAATACAAAGCTCATTAAAAACGTCACTCACTAATTTATTTGACACATAAAAACAAGCTATTAATAATCAGAACCTTTTTCTTCTTCTGCAAACATGATAAGATAACCGAATACTGTGTGGCAGTGAAAAATATACACAAAAAAAATTCAATGGCTCGTCCAATATCACCTGTAAATTACGATTCAATTTTGATCATGAGATGCAGCTCAGAACCACTATGAGCGACCGCCAGGTTTAAAATGACATAATAACATGACTCTGGAGCATTTGGAGTTTCACACGTGGATTAGAGGACTTGAAAACGTGTCCATAATGCCAATTTCGCTGCATTTTTTAGTCACTAAAATGATAAACGACAAAGTTGCAATTCGATAAACAATTTTTTGATCCATTTCATCATCAACTAAGCTCCACAACCCCCTCTAATCACACATTGCACTTTCACAACAAAACAAACAAATCAAACGTCAGATCGGACAGCAACCAAGTCAAAAAGAACAACTTTAGCGATAAAAACTTGCACTTTTCAATGTTTTTTTGTCGTTCTTCTTCATTTTCTCTTGTCATCGTCAGAATCACAAATGCCTTTTAAAGCTATATTTTGTACATGATAAGGGAGAAGCTAGAGAGTTTTTCGTGGTTTAGATAAAAAAAATACTTTTATTGAACATGATTAAAAAATTGCTTGGCGAGTTCAAGAACCTCTTGCTAATATTGACCTTGAGTTTTTTTGGGATTCTTTGGTGGTTTGTGTATTTTTAGTTGATTTTTGTTGATAAGATTTGAGTTGGACATAAGTGAAATTTGTTATCAGGAATGTGCATTCACTGGGAGGTTGGTTATATGATAAGCGAATGAGTGCAATTATAACTTTATTTGATCAAAGTTTGAATTTTGAAGCGGTGCCTTAATATTCAACTGATCTTGAAGCGTTGCTTTAAAGCTTAACTGATCTAGAAGCCCTGATTTTAATTTAAACTGATCTCAAAGCATTGCTTTGAAGTTTAACTGATCTTGAAGCGTCGCTTCGAAGTTTAATTGATCTTAAAGAGTTGCTTTTAAGCTGAACTGATCTTGAAGAGTTGCTTTGAAGCTAAACTGATCTTGAAGCGCTGATTTTAAACTTAACTGATCTCAAAACATTGCTTTGAAGTTTAACTGATCTTGAAGCGTTAGTTTGAAGTTTAACTGATCTTGAAGCGTCGCTTCGAAGTTTAACTGATCTTGAAGAGTTGCTTTGAAGCTTATCTCGTCATAAGGCGTTGTTTTGAAGTTTACCTGATCTTAAATCGTTGCTTTGAAGTTTACCTGATCTTAAAGCGTTACTTTGAACCTTTACTAATCTTCAAGCGTTGCTTTTAAGCTGAATTGATTTTAAGGTATACCTTCAAAGCTAATTAAATCCATCTACAAATTTTCAACCTACAAACCTTAAAAAAAATTACAAAATTTAATTCATCCTTAACAATCCTCAACAGTTTAATCCACACCGACTAATCATCAGTTCCAAGAAAAATCATCATGTGTATTAATCTCGAGAAGTTTCCATGACTCATCAAAAACCAGCCTTAAATCACATCAAGTCATGAAAAAAAGTTTCCTGTCTCTAAAAATATCTTCTTTTATTTTGGCAACAAGGAAGCAGAAAAGACAACAACAACAAGAGCAATTCAGAATCGATTTCCTTCAGCATTTATTGTGAATGACTCATTGGGAAAAAGGAAGAAGGAAAAATTAAGCAGTCACAGCACCAGTGCGGCACAAATGCTGATGGAAATTTTTTTTATCTTTTCCTAGCAACAGAAAAATTATTTTTTTTTTCTTCCTTTTTTTATTATTTGGTGCCCTTCATCTTGGGTCGGATACTGCTTGCCTTTAACGACGGCAATTTTTCATCTCCAACCACGTTTTTTTGTGCTGTGAAAAAGATTCCTTCTTGTTGTTCTTCACTCTCGCTTGCTTGCTGCTGTGTCTATGTTCTTTGCTGATGTCTGATAGGAAAATTTTTATGTTTGTCGTTGGGATTTTTGAGTTGGTGGTGGTTTTGCGGAACTAATGGGGTCCATTTGTTGTGTTTTTGGCAAAGGAAGAGACAAAAATAAAAAGGTTGTGCTTTATTCTAATTCCTTGAGTTTTTAAGGCTGAGCTTTATTCTGATTCCATGAGTTTTTAAGGCTGAGCTTTATTCTAATTCCATGCATTTTAAGGCTGTGCTTTATAATAATTTCATGCGTTTTAAGGCTGTGCTTCATTCTAATTCCATGAGTTTTTAAGGCTGAGCTTTATTCTAATTCCATGCATTTTAAGGCTGTGCTTTATAATAATTCCATGCGTTTTAAGGCTGTGCTATATTCTAATACCATGAGTTTCTAAGTCTGTGCTTTATTCTAATTCCTTGCGTTTTAAGGCTGTGCTTTATTCTAATTCCTTGCGTTTTAAGGCTGTGCTTCATTCTAATTCCATGAGTTTTTAAGGCTGAGCTTTATTCTGATTCCATGAGTTTTTAAGGCTGAGCTTTATTCTAATTCCACGCATTTTAAGGCTGTGCTTTATTCTAATTCCTTGCGTTTTAAGGCTGTGCTTTATAATAATTCCATGCGTTTTAAGGCTGTGCTATATTCTAATACCATGAGTTTCTAAGTCTGTGCTTCATTCTAATTCCTTGCGTTTTAAGGCTGTGTTTCATTCTAGTTTTATGCTTTTTTTAAAACGGCTTCATTTAATTTCCATGCGTTTCTCCAGCTGAGTATTATGAACATCCTTAAAAACTCAAAGATTAACAATTCTTAAATGCGCATAGGCCAACTTATCCACATCACATCTCAATTTTTCCCCTCTTAACGTCTTGCATTTGACATTGAAAATTTATTGACGATTCCTTAATGTGATACCGGAATGAAAAGAAATTTTTTTTACTGCCTCTTATTTGGCATTGGCATTGGCATTAGGGTAAGGTTGAATAAATAAATTCAAATCTTTACTAACGTGCACATTCTTCTTCCTGGCAACATGAAATTGCTGAATGATTTTCACTCACTTTTTTTTCTTTGAAGGGTGAATCTTAATGCGGTTGGGATGATAGAACAATTGATAGGGGTTGATCTAGTAAAAAAATCGATAATGTTGTTGTCGAGTTGAAGAAGAATGAATTTGGGATAAGTCTAGTTTACATTATCTATTAAAATGAAATGATCAACTAGATCTGAGACTAGTGCAAAATTAGTACACAGAAGGACACGACTAGTTCAATTTATGTCCATAGCAGGACATGACTATATTAAAATTTGTGCACATAAGGACATGACTAATTCAATTTTAGTACACAGAAGGACACGACTAGTTCAATTTTAATGCAGAGAAGGACACGACTAGTTCAAATTTCGTACACAGAAGGACGTGACTAGTTCGAATATAGTACATAGAAGGACATGACTAGTTCAAATATAGTACACAGAAGGATACGATTAGTTCAATTTAAACACAAAGGACATGACTAGTTCAAATTTAGTACACAGAAGGGCATGACTATTTCAAATTTAGTATATAAAAGGACAAGACTAGTTCAAATTTAGTATATAAAAGGACATGACTAGTTCAAATTGAGTACACAGAAGGACATGACTAGTTCAAATTTAGTCCACAAAAGGACACGACTAGTTCAAATTTAGTACACAGAAGGTCATAGAAAAAACAAGAAAAATTTGCCAAATTTATCAAGCATTTTTCCTCATTTTCACCATTCCAAACCAGCACATTTCATGCCATCAAAATTCAAATTTATTTTCTTCCCTTCTTAACTTTTTTTTTCCTTCATGTTCATGAAAATACTTTTTTCCTCTCCTTCCCATCCATTTGATTCTTTTTCCTTTCAGCATATCTCGAACCTACAACAACAAAATATAAAAAAAAAACTTTCTTGTCGATTTCAACATTTTTCGCCACTAACACAACCTCACAGCGCAGCATTAACAGATATCCTGCCGTGACATAGGCAGGCAGCAAAGATGAAAATCTGAAGGAAGCTGAAGACAACAAAAAAATTATTTTGCAAGACAGGAGAAAAAAAATTTTATCGATAAAAAAAAGTCTTCATCCGACACATGCCGGTTTAAGGAACTGCGCACGCGTCGGTCTGTCCTTGCCCTTGGAAATAATTTTCAACTCATCCCAATCGTCCCCCCTCAAAAAACCGACCCGAAAATAATTCAGTTGAGGGAAGAAAAAATCCCGACGGAAAATTTTTCCTTTTGATTGTGTTTGTGTGAAAAATTATTTGCATTTGTGTTAGTGCGACATGAAAAAAGGGAGAAAAAAGAATTCAAATTCCCTTAAAATGCAGCATAGGAAAAACTGGGAAGAAAAAAAATTGGCAACAACTGAGACTCATTCCATAGTTGTCTGGGTTAATTTTTCTTTTTTGTTTCTATTGAAGCAGTAGGAAGAAGGAGCTGCTCCAATTGGGGTTCGATGACATTCAAAGAGTCACATTGAAACTGGTCGGAATATTTTCTATTTAGTTTGAGAGGTTGTGGGGAGATTTTTCAGGATTGAGAAGGATGAAGAAGGGAAAATTTTATGGAAGCATGGCACGAAATTAAGGAAAATTTATGTTGTACTGAATGAGGTCGGAAAATGAATGTTGATGTGAGATAACAGGTCATTTGGATAGATTTGCATACTGTTTAGGTTTGTTTGACTTTAATTTGATTATGTTTGTAGTTTTTTTACCTTTACATTCAAAATGACGTAGTTTAGTGCCCCTTTTGCCCCAAAAAACGTAGTTTTTTGCCGCTTGAGTATTAAAATGATGTAGTTTTTTACCCATTGAGCATTAAAGAAGCAGAGTTTTACACCCCTTGGGTTTCAAAATTATATAGTTTAGGACCCCTTGAGAACCAAGGAAGCGTAGTTTGACACCCCTAGAGTATGAAACATGATGAAGTTTAGTACCCTTTGATCATCAAAGAACTGTAGTTTTACACTTCTGAGTATAAAATTGACGTAGTTTAATACCCCTGAACACTAAACATCCGTTGTTTTACACCCCTCGACCATCAAAAAAGCGTAGTTATAAACCCCTTAAATATGAACCTTTGTACCCTTTTCGTATCGAAAACTCATCAAATCCATTAACCTTTTTGCTAACTTTAATCCAACCCTCAGCATAGATAATCCTTTAATAAATCCAGCAAACATAAATCATCTCTCCTTCTAAGAATTTCATCATCTCAGAAGAATTCTTTAGCTTCCTCAAAAAAAAAAGGTTCAAAAATTTGTCTGTAAATTTTCTTTATTGTCTGCAAGTAGCTAAAGTCGATAACTTCATTCATTATTTCACAGTCTGCAGTTCACAGACTTCCTACAACTTTTAAACCCACAATGAATTTATTTTCCTCCCAAAAGTTTTTGTGCATTAAAAATTCGCTCGGTGCTGAAAAAACATCAAAAAGCTCCTCATTCCTAAAACTATTTTGTTCCTCATTCGACTTTTCCTTTTTTTTTTGCGCACTTCGTCTCGTTTCCTTTTTAATATTTTAGCTTGCTCTAGTTCCATTGCATTGTGTGCTGTCTATGAAAATAGCAAAAAATAATAGTAATTTCACTGCAGACACAAAAACATGAAAATGTGAAAACCAGATGAAATGTGTTCCTTTGTTAACAGTTTGAATTGAAATTGGAATTGAAATGTAAGAAAACTTTAATTTTTTGCAAGTTTTTTTGTCAAACATTGTTTATAAAGAAAATCATAAAAATAATTCAAAAAATTCAAAATATTCTCAAAAAAATTAAAAATGTTTTAAAAAAATTCAAAATAATTGTAAAAAATTTAAAACATTTTTTAAAAATTGAACGACAAAATTCAAAAAAAATATTAATAATAATTTTAAAAAAAATAAAAGTAATAAAAGTTGAACAAATTTTAACTGAACATTCATAAAATCATGCTACAATCAGGAGAAAATTGGGGAACTGACACAGGATGATGGGAAAATCAATAATTGTGTCTGGAACAAGGAAAAGTTTGCATTTTAGTTTTTACTTTTTGAATGAATTTTAAATTCCTTTTTATTGTTTTTTTATCTGCAGACTTTTTGTTTTGTTATTTTTTTGATTTTAAAATTATTTTTTGCTTCATAATTTAAAGATTTTGAGATTCGAAAACAATAAAATTGTCAAATTACAATTTTAATAATTAAAAAATAATTTAACAAATTTGAAAAATGTAATTTAAAATAAATTTTCTTAAAACAAAAAATTAAAATTTATAAAAGCTTTTTTTTTTGCAAAATTAAAAAAAATAATTAAGAACAAAGTGGAAAATGAAACACCTTCATTGTCCACACTTGTTTTTAAGACAAAAATTAAATATTTAAATAATTTCTTCAAATTCCTTCAAATAAAAAAAAATAAGAAAAAAAGTGCAAAAAAAAGAAAACTTTGTGGATCTGCCGGGTATCGATCCCGGTACCTCTCACATGCTAAGCGAGCGCTCTACCATTTGAGCTACAGACCCATTCACTTTCATATGATCACTCGCGACAGACTTTCTTATTGAACATTATGTGAGCCACAAAGTGATAATTTTAGTGTCTGTGGTGCTTGACCTAGATCAACTCATGGATGAGGTGTGATCGGTGTAAAGGAGTTAATTTGATTAAAGGAAGATTTTTAAAAATTATGATTTTTATTTATTTGGTGAGCAGATACTTTTTGAAAAACCAGAGCACCTGAAAGTAAAATAGAAGAAATCTCACGTGTCTTTCAGTTTTATTTCTTTTCTAGACGAATTAGAAAAGAACAAATCTATTTTATTTTTAAAAAATGAAAAATCATGAATTGCTGAAATCAGAATGCCTCAAATGAATAATGCGATCTGATTCATATTAAATAATAATTTTTAACCCTTTTTTTTTTACAAATCAGGGCTGTTTACTTATTCTATAACGCAAAAAATTACCTTTTAGATCCCCCTCCCCCCCCCCTTTTGTAACACAAAATTTGCATGAAAAAAATTCTTTTGGTTGAACCGTAACAATAAAAGCGTTACGTAATAAGTAAACGACCCCACAAAATATTGAAATACATTTTTCATTCAAAAACATAAAGTCGAATATTAAACATCAGGAATTTTTAAAAAACTATTCATTTAAAAATCTAAATTGATATTTTTTGCAATAATATAAAAATAATAATGAAGAAAACTTACTTTTGGTAATTTAATAATTTATTAATTTATCATTTTTATTTATTTATTTTACCTTTCATCCAACAGCATCACCATCTTCATTATTAACACAATAATTGTAACTTTGGAATCATCAAATGTTAATTGCGTTTATGGCTATTTTGGTTTTCATGCTGTAACTTCCAAATATCGCTGTCTAGTGTCAAATAGCCTCAACATTTCATCACAAGATTCAGCCCAGATTGATGCAGTCAATGGAACTCATTTAACCAATAAGACCAACAATGATGAAATTTTCTTTCATGCAAGCAGCAGACACATTGAATATTTTCCAAAAGGGCTTGAAAAATTCTTCACAAATCTTACTGGCATTGTCATTTGGTACAGTAAATTAAAGGAAATTCATCAAGACGATTTGAAGGCTTACACGAAGTTAAATTATCTTTTTTTATCCACAAATAATATTGAAATAATTGAAGATGGGTTATTTGACTTCCAACCGGACATTCAAGTCATTAAATTTGAAGATTCTAAGATTTTTCACATCAGTTCCTCAGTGTTTGATAATTTATCTAAACTTACAACTTTGAGTCTTGCTGGAAATAGCTGCACCAACTTATCTTCCACAAACAATCGAGCAGGCGTCCTTGAAGTCATCAAAAGTGTCATAAGCACCTGCATAAGCTCTGATTTCTCGAAACTAGATGAAAAGTTGAAGAACCTTGAGGAAGGATACAAAAATTTAAACTTAAAGGATCTGCCTGCTTTCCTACAAGATCTTGAAAGCTTTAAGGATGACGTAAATCAGTCAAAATTTGCCAAATCAAAGGCACTAAAAAGCCGCATAATTATGATCTCATTTTTAAAGATGTCACTTTTATCGGAAGTCAACAATGCTCAATCGGCTGAGAGTGACAGAATAAACAGGAAAATCAACAATTTGGAAGCAATGCTGAATGAGCTGAACAAGAAGACAATAATTAATAATCACTGGATGATAGGAGCCTTGGTAGTCATTGGATTAATCCTAACTGTAATTTTAGTAATAGTTTTTAAGCGATTTCGCTCATAAATCTTAATATTTATCATTTGTAACCATTTCCTTAGTATCATGAACCATTGCCAGAGGGAGACAAAAATCCCAACGCCTTCTTCCTCCCCCCCCCCCTCCCCCCCCCCCCCCGTTTGGGATTAATAGTTTACACTCATTATTCTTTCTATCAAAACTTTAATCATAAATTACTCATTTATTAATCCTGTTATTACTCTACGCCAGTCATACTAAACATGTGTGCCGCGGCACTTAGCAAAAACATTAAAATCACATGAGTCACACATGATCACCGTTTGCAGTGTCCGGTTTCGGTCATGACTTATTACTAAGGTGTGCCTTAGCACAAGAAAGATTGTGCAGCACTGCTACACTCATTGCTTGAATTACTAACAATATTGTGTCATATTATTATTCATCTAGCATTTTTAAACTTATTTCCTTTTTAATCATCATTATTGCATCATTCTTACGCACTTTATACTCAATAAAAACTTCAACAGAACTATTAAGTCATTGCTTAATCATTATTACTCTAAATTCTAATCCTTACTCTTTCCTTATATCCATACCAAACAGCCTTGAGAAGGTCACAGCATCGTATTACCATCACGATAAAAGTAGCTTAATATTCACCGATATAATTCAACAAGGAAGTGACACCCCCAACTCCCATCTCAACCCACGCACAATCTACAGATAAATAATCGCAAATACAACCAAATAAAAGAGGCTTTAACCTTCAACGCACAAAATTTCGTATATCCTTCCTGAGAGCGTGCGAGCGAGAGAGAAAATTGAGTTCAAGTCAGATCAACGGCAATGTGTCCTTGAATGACATGAGCCATAAGGACGAAAGCTCTTTTTTCTCATTTTCTGTTCAATGCGTGTGTTACGCACATAACGTCCTTGAACTTTTATTTGTAAGGTTTATGGCACAATCAAGGACCAATTTTTCCTCGGAAGTTCGGATGAAGGTTGTGCGTGGATGAAGGTTGGGCGTAGATGTGGTGTGAAAAAAATTCTGTTTGATGTGGTTTTAATGATATTGATTGAGGAGTGATTTTAAGGGGTTCTAGCGGTATGGTATTATAAAGGTTATTTTATTAATTTCCCATCCGAAAGTTCGTATTCTAACCTCAAAAGCTTCAAATCTAACCTTAAAAATCTTCAATTCTAACTTCGAAAGCTTCAAATCTAACTTTAAATGATTCAATTTTAACCTTGAAATTTGAATTCTAACCTAAAAATTTGAATTCTCACCTTCAAACTTGGATTTTAACCTCAAAAGCTTGAATTCTAACCTCAAAATTTAAATTCTATTCAAATTCTAACCTCAAAATTTGGAATCTAATCTCAAAAGCTTGAATTCTAACCTCAAAATTTAGACTCTAATCAAATTCTAACCTCAAAATTTGGAATCTAATCTCAAAAGCCTAAATTTAAACCTTAAAATTTGAATTATAACCTCAAACCTAACCTCATAATAATCCTAATCTCCATCTAACTTCCAACAAGTCATAACGAATTTATTGCTACAGTCACTCATTTCCTCGATACATTCTTCTCCTTTTCCTCACATTGATTGATTGATGATGCTCGGGGCAAAGTTAAGAGGATTTTATGAGCTCAAATGAAGGATGAGACAAAGGACACACATACAATTTCTGAGAAAGTTTTTTCTTTATTCAATGTCAAATAGACAAATGAGATTAATGTGAGGCTCAAAAGTGTCGTTCATTTAGGAAAGTTATTTGGCGAGGGTTTTTTTTTGTGCTATTTGGTGGAATTAAGGATGACGTGAGAGATGGTTTTCTTCAGGTTATGACTACAGAATTTTTAGGTTATATTGCTAGATATTTTAGGTTATGTTGATTAACTTTGAGGTTTTGTTCTTAGAATTTGAGGTTATGCTACTGAATTTAAGGTTATGTTCCTGGAGTTTAAGGTTATGTTCATGAATTTTGAGGTTATTTTTCAAAATTTTTAGGTTATGTTTCTGAATTTTTGAGGTTATGTTGCTGAGCTTTGAGGTTGTGTTAAACAGTAAAAAAAGTTCTCTTAAACCGAAACCGAAAGCCAACAAAAATTTTGAAAAATATTTGATCCAATAACCCAAAAACTCACCTCTCATCAAGTTCACCGACATCATCAAAAAATGACAAAACAATCTGCTCATAAATCATAAAAAAAAGATTTTCTCGACAATTTCCTTTCATTCATATTTCAAGCATCTCATTAAATTATTCAGTACGAAAAATCAACTAAAGTCAATGCCTCACGACATGTTTAGGTTGTAAAGAAGGCAAACGAACTCAAAGTGGGTCACTGCGGCACTGTTTCACTTTCTCATCTCGATTTAACGCCCGGCTTCTTCTTGCTTAGTTCACCTCAATTATTATTAGCTGAACTGCCATTGCCAATGCCGCTGTTGTTGTGGATGAAAAAAAAGTGAAATAAATGCTTTTTAAAATTTCACCGAAAGCGAAAGAAAAAAAAATGAAAGTGATGTAAAATTAAATTAATTTTATAGCTGGAATTGGAAATTTTCTTGCTGGTGCAAAAATAAAGCTAAGTTTGCGATTTTTGTTAAGTGATTGAGTCGAGGAAAGTAAGAGTTTTTCTTTCTATGGAACCGTAATTAGTTGACTGTTGTGAGCTTTGTTTATGGTTTGATGCAATTTCGCACGTTTGTTTGGATTGTTAAGCTTCTTGATTGTTGGTTTAGTTATGATAGTGATAGATGGTAAGAAAAATATCAGGAAGGTAGCTTTATAATTCAGCCACTTAACCTTAAAATTTAGGATAACCTCAATATTCAGCAACTTAACCACAAAATTTGGAAAGATAACCTCAAAATTTGAGAAGATAACCTCAAATTTCAGCAACATAACCTCAAAATTTGGAAAGATAACCTCAAAATTTGGGAAGATAACCTCAAAATTCAGCAACATATCCTCAAAATTCAGCAACATAACCTCAAAATTTGGGAAGATAACCTCAAAATTCAGCAACATAACCTCAAAATTTGAAAAGATAACCTCAACATTTGGGAAGATAACCTCAAAATTCAGCAACATATCCTCAAAATTCAGCAAATTAACCTTAAAATTTAGAAAGATAACCTCAAAATTTTGAAAGATAACCTCAAAACTCAACAACATTACTTCATAACTCAACAACATAACCTCAAAAATAGCTCAAAATTCCAGTAGACAGTAGCATTAGTCAAGATCACTCTCAATAATCCCAAATATTCCACTCATCCCAAAAAATCGTCTGTCCAAACAAAAAAACTTGCATAAATATTTTCATTTTCATTCAATGATCTCAAAAACGATACTCGTGATCTCTATTTTGTGTTCACATCAATTCAAGAGCAGCTTTTTATCTTTCATGCTCAATTTTTATATTTTTTCTCCATTTCTTTCTTTCCATTTTCATTCGCCTTTTTGACTCGCTTCATTGCTGATGGTACAATGACCTGGTAATTGAATGGAACGCCAACATACATTTTTATATTCAAACTTACACACACAATAGTAAACATAGCTCCGTTTGTGTGGTGTGCTTCTGCTGATACAAATTTTTCATGTAGAAAAAAAAGAGTTGATCGTGACGAGCAGCAAAGTGCCTTTCTGCTGCTATGTTTTGTGTGTTTCTTAACCAATTAACTTCGTTCCCTCATTCCACATATTCCTTTCATCTTTACACACATTTTTGTAGCTTTTTTTTTTGCTTGCTTGCTTTGTAACATAAAACAACACGTTGTTTGAAGTTCATGGTTAGCTTATTTTGCAAGATCGGATGGTGAGAGGATTGGGTGACTGGGATGATAGTTTAGGTGGACTTGACTTTGAAAGCTTATACCGAATTTGAGTTTCCCGAATAGCATAAGTCGGTTAATCGAATAGAAATCCGGCACCAAGCCAGTGTAGATAGATAGAATGTAATGAAGGGTTTTGCTTAGAGCAAAAACGTCACTGCGATCGATGATCTGTTGTACCATCCCGAGCCATCTATGATAAAATTCCTATGTCCTTGATGAAACCAATAATGTGCTGATAGTGCTGTCTACTAATATCCTCATCATTTATATAATCCTTATCAAAGTGGTTGACACGTTGTACTCGTAATGACCTGCATTTACAGAGAATATGAATGATAGTTTCCTCATTCACCTTACAAAACCTGCAAGACTTATTATAAGCCAGTGAGACTCTAACATGGTTCGATTTAAATTGTTGGCTTGGGGCCTGATGTCTATTCGATTAACCAACTTGTGCAATTAGGGTTTTTGTGACAATAGCATGCTTCAATGGAAGAGTACTTAGGGGCCGTTAATTTCGGACGTCATAAGTGAACGGTCCCTTATAGAGGCTCCAGAAATCGGCAGTTGTATCCAAATGCTGCTGCATCTAAGTTTTTGGTAAACTTAACTCAATCTGAGATTTAGGAATATACTCAAACTCAACTAATGATTTTAGCAGTGGTGGGAAACCTTTTTTATTCCACGGCACACTTTCGTGAGAGGACATGTCAAAAATTGCACGCGACATACGGTTTTTGCGATTTGTAGACTTTTTTCAACACTTTAGTGTTCCGCAGCACATTGGTTGACCATCACTGATTAAAGGAATATTGAAAAATCCATTTTATGTTGACAGAACCTAATCATGACACAGGTGCAAGTTCACAGTAAATAAGGCACAAATCTAGTTGAAAATGACTCAAACCCCCTTAAAAGATGGAGTTAAACTTTAAACACAGTCGAATAAGTTAATCTTAATTCCTATATAAGCTATCCTAGCCCAGCTCTACAACTTATTAATTTAGAATAATCTAAAGCATTGAAACCATTCATCTTCAATCTGCGCCTTATCAATTCTCTCATCTCACAATCCACTTCCCAACTTCTTCCTTCTTCACATATCTCTTCTGTTCCTGTCTCCCTCATTTCTTTTCCCATTACGATCGCGAATCATTGTACACTGTTGTGCTTTGTAGATAAAATATGCTCTGCTATGAACTCAAAAAACCTTTTTTTTCTTATATCGTTTCATCTCACTCGATCCTCGATCTCTTTCACATTTGTGATGTCTTTGCCTTCTTATTTGAAAACATGTTGCTCTGCAACTTCTTTTTCTTTCTGCTCGGCATTTTTTTTTTCTTTTTTGAGGTCAATGTCTTGCCGGATGGTCAACGGATGGAATTA